CCGGATCAGGTTTATTAGGTTCTAGCAGGTTAAATCTGGGTAGTGAATGAGGACGTGCCCTTTCCCTCATTTTATCTGATAGCAATCATATAATCGGCGAAAATAAACATACTGATGTGTCAAAGCAAACGGTCCAAAACCTCACTGACTGTTTAAGATGAATCATCCTCTGTATGTGTTCAGGCATCTTATTGATCTCATGGCTCAGGGTGGAAGGAATAAATGGTTTGATTTCAGGAATTTTGATCTGAATCAAGAAGCTGGTGGATTTGCAGATGTTTGCAGGCTGCTACTTTAAAAGGCTGTTTTATCTCCCCATGGACTGCAGGCTAAACAACTTTTGCAAACCCTGATGTCTCTTAATAAGCAGCTGTTCCTGTAAAGGTCAGCGGCTGACCTGCTCCGCCTCTGTTTGTCTGCAGGGCGATGAGAGGGACGTGTCCGATGCTGCAGTAGAGGAGCAGTGACATGCTGGCTTGTTTGCCAGCGCCAGGTGACCCCGCCATCCGACTTCTTCCCCGCACGCAGATGAACACTGGACCACAGAAATGTAAGCGAGATCTTTCCAGATGACACTTCATTAAAACTTGTTAAATCAGCGAAGCAGCTGGTATTTATTTTGATGTAGGAACATTTTCTAAAACTATTATCATCATCATCCCTGGTACCCCTAAATAAAATCCAGTGTGTAACTTGTGAGCTCAGATTTTGAAATACATAAACATCCAACCAGAGATTGGATCTGTTTGAATTCATGGGCTGCGTCTTCCAAGGAAGCGTTCTACCTGGACTGGATCCTTGGAAGTCCTTGAAAATAAGGAGACCAGAAGAGTTTGGGCTGTGAATTAAAACAGGTCCAGCCTTCGGTTGCTTTCTCCGCTGTATGCTCTGTCGCTTAGCAACCGTGACAGTTGACACACGAAGCAGGAAAAGAAAGAAAACTGAACTATCCAAACTGTTGATTTAAAAATAAAAAATAAAAATCTTTTTTTTTATTGTAAAGTGAACAAACACTACACTCTACTCTGAACAAGTAAAAGCAAACATAATGATATAAACCTTAGTCAGTTACATAACATGCTGCTGTCATTTTGCACATTTCTGATGTTGCTGCTATTTTGCATTACTGTAAAAATGTCCATAGCTGGATATTAGTTATTTATTCTCCAGATGAAGTTTTATATTTTAAAAACATTTTACAGTATTTTATTGTTTATATTTTAACTCTTCACTGTTATGTTATTCTTAGACATTTTTCTAAGGTCCACATTTGTTTGACCATTTTTTTCAATAATGTTTTTGCCGCTATAAAGACCAGAATTTCACCCATTGTGGGAAAACAAAGGGATTTTCTATTCTATTCTACTCTTTTCTATAAAAGGGGTAGAAAGGTATAAGTGAATCTAAACAATGAATGTATAGGAAAACACAAAAAATACTTAGTTTAGCAAATTGTGCAAAACAGCAATACAAAGATAAAAGTCCTATCAAATTAGAATCGTCCTTAAATTACAGCCAAACTCATTTAGACAGTAACAGATAAAACCTTTTAGATAAATAAAACATATCCGCCACATATCTGACTCAATAACCATTAAAACAACTCTTTTCATTAATTTCAGATGGAACTATTCACAGACTTGTATTAAATTAAACTGAACTTCCAATATTCCCCACTGTTCGGCGCCATTTTCCTCTGATCACTGAGCAGCCGGCTTGCTTGGTTTCGCAATGAAACCTGGGATATCCAAGGATAGATAGGATACATCGCACCCATCCTTCAAATCAGGCAAAAAGAAGGAGGCATTTAAAAGCCGCATTATGATGGAGGCTTGGAATCCGACCAGACCTCGGCGCCGCGCTGTGATGCGGAGGACGCAGTCCATGAATTCGAACAGAGCCAATGAAGCAACTTCCTGTTAGAATGGCTTCATATGGAGGGAATTTTGTTCCATTGTTGTTGCAAATAAAGAACATGTTTCGTAAATGGAAATTTGATAGAAATACAGTCAGGAATTTAAACTTAGAAAAACATTTTGATTCCAAAAAACTAACCTGGCTCTGATATTATTCCAATTTTCTTTTCAAATTTTTTATAATGTTTTATATTCATATTTAAGAATTGCATTCTTTTCAAATTTT